TACGATTGTGTGTGTTTACGATTGTGTGTGTTTACGATTGTGTGTGTTTACGATTGTGTGTGTTTACGATTGTGTGTGTTTACGATTGTGTGTGTATACGATTGTGTGTGTTTACGATTGTGTGTGATTGTTTCTGATTGTTTTTCCCGATGTACACATATTGTGTCCAGTTCCACACCCCTCGCCTTTTGGCGTATACATTTGAGACACCCCCAAATTACAGTGTAGACGAAGGCATTAATTTGAATTCCTAATTCATTAAAGTGCCGCTTCTACCGGTCTGGCGTTCAATTACGCCTATACCCTTATCACTGAACCGATGTCTTTTTTTTTCTAGGAGTCTGAAGGGTAATGCCAACCTCCGCTTTCTTCACCCAGACGCCTTCCAGGGCATAGACAGCTTGAGGCGACTGTGAGTGTCCAACGGAAACGCGACATGAAAGATCACTGTAGCAACAGCTAAACAAAACACCTCCTGGCGGTTGTGTTGACACTGTGACACTGTGACACTGTCACAGCCAGTCAGATCTTAGCCACAACCCCCTTTCCTCTATAGCGCTGTCTCTCTCTTTCCCCTCCCCCTACTTTTCTCCGCCTCTTTCCCAGCCAGCAGACAGCCTTAAAGTAATCTCATGTTCCGTCAGGACCAAAGCCCCTTCGCTCCCATTCCGCAGACCACGACCTCGTCGGGGGGACTCGTGTCGAAGTCTGGCGAGAGTTCGGCATCAGAATCGGAAATATATTGTGGTTTTAATTAATTTAGCAGATTTTTAAAAACTATTTTGCATAATAATTTTTACCAGGGACTTGTCTCGCACCGCCATTACGAGACTCCCAACCCGTGGGCTGGAGAACCTGGAGCACCTTTTACTCCAGGACACTCATCTTCTCAAGGTCTTTCCTGCTGCCTTCCACTTCAAGGTAACAATCTAACACAGAAAATGCTTCCCTTGCCTTAACACGTTCAGTGCGGCGTGACCCACACCGTGGGTCACAATAACATAGGATTGCCTACCCCCGCCGCACTCAACGTGTTAAAAAGCTGTCACGAATAGGGAGAACTTTCGACCAATTTCCCCAAGAAATCACAAGACAAACTTTCATCCATTTTCGAGTATAACATTTGTCACACGTGCCTTTTTACGCCATGATATAATGCAAAAACTTACCTTGATCATACTCAAATATGTAATTTTAGAGGAAAATTTCCCGCAATTTTTTAAAACTTGGTGTATGCAAACTACACAGTGAAAAATCAGTCTTGGAGACGGAGCCTGTCACGGCGTTCCGTACCTCACTTTTGGGAGTGATTTTCGAAAGCGGTTCGGAGATTTGCCGTACATATGGTCACCGTACCAACGATTTTTACATGGGCTAGCATGGGGAAGAGGGTACGGAACGCCGTAACAGACTCCGTACTCAAGACGAAGACTTCCGGATCAAAATTAACAGGACTTTTTCCGTACCTTTCCGTACCCTGGCTCCGTCCGTACCCACGTTTTTTTTTTACATGGGCTCTTATGCGAAGAGGGTACGAAACCCAAGGTACGGAGACGCCGTAGGTTAAGTAAACGGCATATTTCCGTATGGGCGACCGTGATTATTTTTTACAGCGTAAACGTAGTTATTGGTGCACGTTTCACAGCATATTTCTGTGCAAATCGTACATAATACCTTTTATCAACTAAGCAAGCATGCAGATCAATTGCATTACTGTGCAGGGATCTCGAGAGATCCATGCTACCTACGAAGCTTCCAAATTTTTCGCAGGTGCGAGGGATTTGGCATTTTTCTTTGTAAGGTTTTAACAGTTGGGATTTCTGCTAAACTCAGGCACAAAATTCTTCCTAGGATTACAGTGTGCACTGGGTTTTGGAGCATGCATCGGCGCAGTCAGTCGGGTTTGCCTACCTAAAGAGGCTTATGGTGCCTCAGGGGCAGAGGGAGTTGTAAAACCCACCCGCACCGACGTGTGCACCGATGCAGCCGTGCTATACTATGTTTAAAACGTAACATTTCCCCCCTCTCCTCTCTCCCCCTCTCTTTGCTCTTTCTCTCTCTCTCTCTCTCTCTCTCTCTCTCTCTCTCTTTTCCCTCCCTCTCTCTCTCTTTTCCCTCCTGCCTATCCTCCCCTACTCTCTCTTGTTTTGTCTCCAAGGCCCTGCAGGCGGCAAACCTCACATATCCGTACCATTGCTGCTGCGCGTTCAGCCACCCAGCCGCACATCGGCCTGAGGAGTACGCCAGCTACCAGGTACTGTACAATGCCTGCAGAACCGACACGATTAATACAAATTTTGAAACGATTTTCTAAATTAACGACGCTCTCTACGCAAACTATACTAACTAATTACTGCTCTTGGTTCTTGTTCAAAAACAAACAACATTCGAAAGAATTTCCTCATTTCTTAATAGTTTTTTGTCAAAAGAGAAATAAAACTTACTCGAAGTTGGCATTTTCATCTAAAATAAATAGCCAAAAAGCAATTGTTGTAGATGTTTCTAAACGTGGGACAAATGTTTCCGCACAAGGAGAAATTTTCCTACAAAACCGAGGTCCTATAGAAGTAGCTCTTCTTCACCGCTGTTGTCAACAAGGCCAAAAACGCCGCTACGTACCTCTCCAGTAACTGTGCAGGTACTGAAAAGAATGGTGGTTTGCAGTCCCTAACTGACCCCTTTATCGTGCAGTGCAAGGTACTGGGTATTAATACCATAGTATGTAGTTTCTTTCTTTAAAATGTTGGTTGGTGTTGGGGGAAGTACAAAGTGGGGTTACCGAGGAGGTTACTTGTTTGTCATCGTGCCTCAGGTTTCAGCCACGAGACCGGGTCGGGTCGGGGGGCGCGTGACGCTGACGCAGCGCCAGCCGACCGTCGCCCCCCCCCCCCCCCCCCCCCCCCCCCCGGGGGGGGGGGGGGGGGGGGGGCTTTTCTGGGTCTCTCGTCTTTGGGAGGATACGTTTTGCATTACGAACCTAATTCGCATTTTTCAGTGCGGGTGCGGATAGTGCGCTTTATGAGCTTGTCTGTAGCTATAATCGGTGTTCTGCAATTAAGTCATGCCGAGGATAATCTCATTATTTTTTTGTCTCATAAGGTTTGAAGGAAAATGGACGGTAAACGAGTCAAAATGACGAGCATAGGTTGTGGTGCACTACTCTTTTGCCTTGTTCTCTCGGCAGCTTGATTAGGCAGGGGGTAGAGTAGTGGTGTGGCGTGGCAGCGGCGCCAGCTTGTTTAGGATTTGCGGGGGGCGGGGGCAATCAAGTCCTGTTGTGACTGCTACTTTTCTCCTCTTGTTCTAATAATTCATCTGCGAGTTGTTTTTCAGAGCCCTCCCTCCCTCTCTCCCTTGGTCCCGGCGCACAGCCTCTCATCCTATATCCGGGCAACGACGACCCGACGGCGAGAGATGGACTTGTCAACTTCCGTCCGCTTCGTCATGCACCAGCTGAGCAGTTAGCGGAACTTAAAAGTAGAGCGCCCGAGGCTCCGTGACGTGCTGACGCTATTAGGAAGCAGCGAGGTTACATACAGGGTGGGTGGATCTTCGCCGTCATTTTAAAAAGCAGATGCGATACTTAATATTAAAGACAAATCTACTTATTAAGCATTTGCTTGTGAAAATGAAAGCTTCGTAGCCTACGAATAAATGCTTCGTAATTATGACGAAATTTTGCTTTGTAATACACGGTGCCACAAGGCGTCCTGGCGAGTGGCAATCAAGCCCGCCAGCAGCCTGAATCTCATACAATGGACTAGGAAAAAAAGACTGTGAAAAGCACCCACCTTGTAGACCTTTGCACACGGGATGGTTGGCATACAGTATTAAATTAGTATTAAATGGAGTATAATTCTGTAAAATAAAATTATACACTTCTCGAGTTTTCCCACGGCGTCCTGCGCGTTAGTCGACGTCTAACAGCTTATGCGCAGGACGGTATAAACTGCAATTTTTTGAGACATTATGGGGTCAGAAAGTGTCCCCAGTGCATTCCATTTTACCCTAGTTGATTCCATTTTGATCAATTTAATTCTCTATTCCATTCCATCTCTATCACACGGAAATGAATTACTATTTGTGGAAACCAGTTAGTTGTATATAATTTGGACCGGTGCAATGATATATGTCACATAAAAACCAGGTCTGATTACCTTAACAGATCTAGGCGGGTATCATCTGGTCTTTTGGACTCATTATTTCACATATGCGATAATTATGTACCTCTGACTAACCTTTTTGAGGGTCTTTGCCTGGTTGTTATACTTAATATTGACAGGGAAAGCTGCGGGGGTACGAGAGCTGCTTAACAACTTGCACGTGTCACTTTGCTCCAAACAGGAGAAGCTACGGGAGGTGCAGGCACGCTGCTCTGAGCTGAACACGTCGCAGGTCATGCTGCCAGGGCACAGACGCCCCAGGGGCACAGGCTGGGAGGATCTCCTCCTCCAGGACGCCGACGAGACCTTCCACCAAGTAAGTCCGTGTGGGCATCGCAAAAGGCAATGTGCTAAAGTAAATCGAGTAGCTAAATCGAAGTTTTTAAAAATTGCATGCTTATCTCTTCGGTCGGTTTCTCCTCGCTTTGGAAGTGTGGGGTGTGGGGGGGTCGATTCTCGCGGAAAACTAACGCATTACGGTTAATGAGTGTACTTCTTACACAGCGCGTTTGCTCACTTGTTAACTCACTCTCTCTCGCCCCCCCCCCCTCTCCTCTCCCTCCCACAGGACAACGTGACCCTGCTGCCCGGGGTGCTGGAGGCTGTGTGCGGGGACCTGGCCCGTCCGCGGCCGCCCGTCAGCTGCTCGCCCGCGCCGGACGCTTTCTCCCCTTGCGAGGACCTGATGGGCAACTGGTTGTTGCGTCTAGCCGTATGGCTTGTGTCCGTGGCCGCGCTGCTGGGCAACGGCGCCGTCCTGGTGGTGCTACTGTCGCCTCGCCGCCGACTGTCCGTCCCGCGTTTCCTCATGTGCCACCTGGCCGCCGCCGACCTGGCCATGGGTGCCTATCTGCTCATGCTTGCCGTCATGGATGCTGTGTCGGTCGGCTCCTACTTCAACTACGCCATTGACTGGCAGAACGGTGAGTGATGCCCGTGCCACTCTATGTAGAGGACGAAAGAGGGAGCGTGGTAGTGCTACAACTCAGATCAATTGATGTGATTGCCAGGGGATTTATTGACTTTTTGAAGAGAATTTTTATTTCATTTATTCTTATTCATGATGGAGTTGCTTCCTCGTCTGTTCCTTTGAGCTTCCCTACCAAAAAGAGGAGTGGCCTTTATTGTCTTAACTTTCTATAACCGGCAAACGGTTTTATTATTTATTTATTTATTTATTTATTTGGTCGACGTGGCTTCGATTGCAAAGGGAAGAAAGAATTGAGAAACGCTGCCCGCGATCAGAGTTCACATTAAAGAATGCGCTGTTGTTTTCTATTTTGTTATTTCTGTCTCTATTTCTGTGAATGATGGTAATGACTAAGACTGCATGGTTTAGGATGCAAACTGACACTGCCGTGCTGTGGCGCCCAGATGCCGTCAGGTGTGACAAGTGACAAGAGAAAATCAACAAAGATGTAATGCGATTACTTGTTTGTTTTGTGACGATCCTACAATGCGTAGATCAGGGTAATGATTCTCGTTTTTATATTACATCACATTATTTTGGTGATATGGATTGGGTTACCACGCGATTAATGCACGCCTATAGATATAACTTTGGGACACGTTTTACTTCTTTGGCAGGTTTTTCTCTCTAGAAGAAAGGGCGATGCTCTCGGTGCGTAAATATTAGCCACAATTCTTATGGTAAATAAAATTTGCTCGCCCGGCCGGAAGTCAAAGATTTGCTGTTCGCATCCAACAGGTCAAGCCCCCACCGGCCCAGGACTCGCACAGCGTATAACGACCTTTCTTCTCCTCTGTAGCGACCCCCGGCCCCGCGGTCTTTCGAGAAAGCCGCCTTGCCTGATTTCGTTTTGAGCCTTGCGCCCGCTGAGAGCGTCACGAAGTTAACTCCATGGGTCACTGGCAGAGCAGAGGGTTGGTTCGTGCCGCTGTCCGCTGTCGCCTTGTCGCCTCCGTCGCTCAGCCTGCGCCCCGCCCCTCCGCCCGCTCCGGTGTGGCGCGCAGCTGGGGCGAGCAAGGCCTGCTCTGTTACACAGCCGAGTTAATCGATCCCTCTTGACAGATTCCCATTCGTCTCAAGGAGGACGCGGTCCTCCCTCCCTACCACACCACTATCGCCTCTACCAACAGCCCACTGTAATGCTCCACTACGTTCGTAGGTGGAGGACCATATTTCTAGAAAACGACACACGAAGCTGTTTCCGGCAAAACGATGAGACATTAGGCAATGAAACAGTTTTGCTTACTGGCAGGGAAGTGTCGTTTGTTGTTGCTAACCTGAAGGCAACGATTATTTTTTTTTGTAGCAAAGAACAGAAACAAAATATTGGAAGTATCGCCTACAATAAGATGTTTTACGACAGTGAACACACAATAATTCTAGTTGAACTAGACTGTGCAACAAACACGTTAAATACATGATGCAACTCACATGCATTGGTTCACCGGGTTTTATTCCGCAGGGAAGACAGAGATAAGTCACTCATAATATTACAGCCGCATGTCAGACTTTTAAATCCGAGATGAAAAGAATGTTCCAATGCTGCGATATGGAAGGGAGGAAAGACGTACCAGAGTTAAGAAACGATATGCAGAGTATGTCCAGAAGCATAACACAATACGTACCCTGCTCCTGCACAAACTCAAAATGATTCAACAAAAATGAGGAAGGGTCGCAGCAAATTTCTCAATTTTCTCCGTCTAGCAATACGCGGTTACGGTGCGCAATAACCTAGAACGCCCCGTTGCACAAGTATTGTAACCCAGAAAATCGCTCCTTTTGACAAGATGTATTTTTAATTTTATTTTTTGCAACGATAATTTCGTGCTAGAA